ATTAAGAGCGATAAATGTTATGGTATATTAGAGTATTAGGAAATAAATCTACACCCCATGGTTATTAACAAGATCAAACCCTGCTTTTTTCGTAGTTAACTTAGTAAGTTAAGCAAAAACACACATGGAATACTTATGATGAGCCAGGCCCTAAGCTACATTGAATTAAGTGAGATATAGTGCCAATTCTCAAAGGTCTAAAATCCAAACTGTTGTAACTGTGTGAACTGTGGCAAGTTGTTGACTTCTCTGGTGCTTAGATTCTTTATATATAAACAAGGAACAAAGCATTGGTATTAGCGTTTTATAAGATAGCCTGGGAAAGTCTTAACTATATGTCTACCTAAAATATCTTAGGTATTGAACATGTTTCTTTTCTTCATATTACTCAATGAAATGTTTCTGAAGATTTGCTAAAAACATAAATTTCTATAATCAAACCACATTTGACACATTCTAAAAGAACTGCAAAGTCAAATATTACATTTATCTTTTATATAAATCTAAATTTTTCATATGCGTGCTTAAGCAACTTATCCAGAGTTATGCCAAACATTATTGGTTATGTTCTCCACAAGAATGTCCTCACTTTAGACACCAGCCACAAATTCAGATGTCCCCAAGACCACCATCACGTCTGATAAGCTGGCTATAAATTTAGAGGTCCCCACAAACTTCCTCAGGTTTGCTAATTCACTAGAATACTCACAGACCTCAGAAAAGCACAAAACTTATGATTATAGCTTTATAATAGCAAAAGAATACAAATCAGAATGAGACAAAGGGAGAGGCACTTGGAACATGGTCTGAGAAAGTTCCAAAAGTGAAACTCCCTTCATCCTCATGGGTGCAGCAGCTAACTGGCACATCAGTGTGTGACAGTGGGCATAGTATTGCCAACTAGGAAAACTCATCTGAATGTCAGAGTTTTTATTGAGGCTTTATTATGTAGGCAGGATTGAATGAATCTTTGGCTATCTAGTTAAACTTAACTCTTAGCATCTCTACCTTTACCAGAGGTTGAGCTGACTGACATCTGAGGCTCAAAGCCCAAATCCTCTAATCACATGGTTGGTCTTCCCAATTGGCTAGCCCCATTCTGAGTCATTTCTTTTGCATAAACCATTAGGTTGGGCTTCAGGGGCTCGCCATGAAAAACAGAGATACTTCAATCACTCGAGAAATTCAAAGGGTTTAGAGTTTACCTCCCAGGAACTAGGGACAAGGCTAAGCGAATTGTTTTTTCTTATACACAACTATTTCACTCAAAACCTAAAGTTTTAATAATCATTTGCATAGTATGGTCATACACAATACTGCATTTACTACTACAATCTTAGAAAGGTGATATTATGATCCTTGTTTTTTAATTTTAACATTTAAGGGAGAAAAAAAGAAAGTGAAGTGCTCCAGTCATCAAAAGTAGTATCTGACAGAGATCTGAACCTCTCAGCGTTCTGAAACCAATTCCAACATTGATTTCAACACACCAAACAGCTATTAGAGTCACCTAACGTAATGGCTTTTTAATAACATTTGTTACTTCTGTAATACAACTTCCTTGAATGGAGGTCTGCATATGTTATTGATAATATTCTAGATAAAGTAAAAGATAAATAAATAAAAGTTAATATAATTCTGGCAGAGTTCAGTGCCCATGAAAGAAGATTTACTAAGGACATAAGGTGAGGACATCTTAGCAAAATGAGATGTGCAGTGGGGTACTCTCTAAACCTACATTCAAAAGAACACCACTAATTAATTTAATTTACAGGTTTTTCCTGTTTATAATAGTATTGTGTTACATCAATTCATTTCCTAATAAGTTAGAATCCTACAACTGGATGTTACCTTAGAGGTCACCTAGTCTAACATTATACCAAAAACTAGTAGATCTTCTGGTACCTAGAAAAATTCTCTCCTTTGAAATATAACCTGAGTCTGGCCATCTGATGAGAATTATGTTCCACAGAATAAGCCTAACTTTCTATCCACATAGCAACTCCTCAAACATTTGATAAATATTTGGAGAAATAAGGTAGCACAGTGTTAAGAGAATAGGTTCTAAAGTTGAATCCAGGTAGTCTAGCTATGTGTCCTCAATTTCCATGCCAATAATAAAAATAAATAATTCATCATGTTGTTCTGAGGATTAAGTAATTAATATACATGGCAGTGCTTAATAAAGATAGCTATTATGATCCCCTTCTATTTTACAGACAAACAACTTCAATTTTTTCACATTGCATGATTACCTGATTTTTCACTCTATATGCCACCTTCAATTCATTAAACAAGCTACAATTTGTCAGTATCTTTCTTAAAATATGGTTTCGAGAATCAAACACAATACTCAAGATGGATACGACCAGGATAGATATATGACTTTTATCAAGTTGATCTCTCAGTTTCTCTCTCTCTCTCTCTCTCTCTCTCTCTCTCTGAATGCCAACAGGGATTGTGTTGATTTTTTCGGTAGTTGCATCATGCTTATGGTCAATTAAAACCTGGAGCTTTTTCTATTTTTAGCACCTGCTCTCCATTCAGTTCCACTTATCGCAAATTTTTTTTTCTAATTAAATGTAGAAATTTATCTTTAACCTTAATAAATGTCAACACATCATCCTAAATAACACATGTTTAAAACTTGATTCTGTCATCCATTGAATTACTAATCTTTACTTCTTTACTAGCTTTATGTCATCTGCAAATTTAGTAAGCAAGTACCTAGACATCTTCCAGGTAACTGCTAAATTGTTGAATTGGACAGGACCAAAAATAGAGCCTATAGAAATTCTTAAAGACCTCACTGCAAGTTAATGACAATCAACTAATCCTTCCCTTTTGGATTTAATCAGCTCTCACTTCACTTAATTACTATCATTCAGCCCACACACTCCTCCATCATTCACTGAATGATATCACAAGACATGTTGTCATATGTCTTTCTCAGAATAGGCTATAGCTGTGTTTATGACAGTCCCTTTAGCTATCAATATAGCATTTGTCATAAAAGGAAATGATGTTCATTTAGCTGATTTGGTTCTAGTGACTCTATACTGACTTATAGTGACTAATTAGGGCCCTTAAATGAGAGAGATCCTTTGACCATATGCCTAACTTCGAGTAAGTCATCACCTCTCTAAGACTATTTCCTCTTACTTAAAAAAAGGAAATGCTGCACTTCACTTTTCTCAGAGATGATAAGAAGATAAAATTAAATAAGGCATTTGAAAATTGTAATGTCAGAATTATTTTAAACATAAAATTTAATCATATATTATAGTGGCCCATTTGGTTAAAAACAAGAGCAGTCTATTTAGTCAAACAATCAGACAATTTTTTTTGACAGGGCTGACCATAATGAAACCAACACTGTTACTTATGTGCTTAGGCACTCCACATGCCTCCACTTTCCATTTAGCATATAGGATATTTTAAACCTTCAAGGATTCATGTCAGCTGAGCATGTGTGTATGTAAGTGTGTGTGTGTGAGTGAGTGTTAGTGTATGATTGGAAAAGATAATCAGCTATCACAGTCTCCCAGTCTCCAAGCTGCATTAGTCATTTTTAGCACCATGATGGAGAATGGTGTGAATGCGGTAAATTCAAAAGATTTCTCAAAACTTGACTGTGCAGACAGATAACTGTTAGAGTGACATTTTCAGTACAAGTGAGAAAACTGATCCTTCTGGGATCTCTAACTCTGAGTGCTTTAAAGGAGAAGATACAAGACTAAACCCATCCTCCTACACTAATCATTTCAGGAATAGTTTATCTAAAAGTAGCAATGCTAATATAAGGGAGTGAAGAAGTCAGTCAAACAGCTTATTTCAACTGTATCCCATTAGCAACCAGATCAATTTTCTCACACAAGTTTGAACTTAACTTTTGACAAAAATAACAAAATAGCATTCAGTGAAAAGTGACATCTTAGTTATAAATGTACAGGTGATTGAAAGATCCAAAGCAGAGTGTCTGAGAGAAAAAGGATAATTGGACAGAATCAAGAGGTCAAGGTGTACATC